GCTGCTAAGCTCTGCCTAAGCAGGTGCATTAGTCTGCTGACTTTTGACCATTCTTGATCTCCCCTGTCCCTCCAGATGAACTTTCCATTTGTCTAGCTCCACAAATAAACAAGTTGTAGTTTTTATTGGGCCTATTTTTAAATTTATAAATTAGCCTTAGAGAGAAATAAATTCTTGGGGGCTGGGGAGATGGCTCAGTGGAATAAGTGCTTCCCTGGCAAGCACAAGGGCCTGAATTCAATTCCAGGTTCCGCCAAAAAAAAAAAAAAAAAAGAGAGAGGCAGACAGACAAATTCTTAATGGAGTGGTATTTTCTTTTGTGTGATTGGTTGGTTGGTTGGTTGGTTGGTAGCACAAGAAACTGAATCCAGGGCCTCGAGTATGCTAGACAGGTACACTAGCCCTGAGTCACACCCCCATCTGTTTTTTGTTTTTGTTTCTTAATTTTTATTTTAAGACAAAGTCTCCATAAATTGATCTTGAAATTATGATCCCCCTCCTCAGCCTCCCAAGTAGCTGGGATTACAAGTGTGTGGTACCACATTTAGCTAGTTTCTTTTTATTAATTTTGATTACTGTAAGATCAATTCATTTGAGCAAAATATTTATGCTAATTTTCTATATTAATGCTGGGAAAGGGAAAAAACTTCAGTACAGAGAGCTTCTGGCATATTTTCTAAATCTTTCATTTCTGGGGGCCAGGGAGATAGGTCAGTAGAATAAGTGCTTACCTGGCAAGCGCAAGGTCCTGAGTTTAATCCCCAAGAACCACAAAATAGGTACATAAATAAATATAAATTCTTTCACTTTTTTTTTTTTACCTTACTCCTTGTGAAATTTTTTCCAGTAGTCTTCATTATTTGTTTTGAAGATGTTGAGTCTTCCATGGTTTCAGGACAATTAATGGAATGTGTTACTGTAGATTGTGTTTGCATACCTTAAAATAAAAAAGAGAGGAAGTGTTTTGTGCATAGTTTCTTAGGCCTTTGCATTATATATAATCTATATACAATAATTCTTCTGATGGCTTTTTAAGGCAAACAGAAGTCTTGTAGGTGTTAGAAAATATACTTTATCTTAGTCATTCTTTGTACCTTTTCCATTTAGGTCTTACTTTATTGTTAACATTTAACAAATTTTAACAGTTTCATTGTCATTACTTTTTGGAAAGAAAGTACATACTACCACTTACAATCTTCATCGGCAAGAAGGAAGGACTCTAAGGTTCTTTCTGGGAGTGGAGGTGGGGAAGGAGATGAATCTTGACGTGGAACTATAATGGGAAAAGTATACAACAAATCAAAGAAATCCATTAATTAAAAATTATAAACCAAGACCCTTTTTGGCATTGCATAATTTCTGCAGTTAGTCAAATCTTAACCAACGGGGCTGGTGAGATAGCTTGGAGGCCTAAGCATCTGCCTGGCAAATGCAAGCACAAGGACCTGGGTTCAGTCCCCAGTACCGTATGCCGTTCCAGCCCTGGAACACCAAAACTGGTTGTAGTGGTGCACACCTGTAATCCCAGCACTGGGAAGGCTGAGATAGGAGGATCACTGTGAGCCTGAGCTGCTTAACAAGATCCTGTACCAAATAAATCAATAATTTGTTCAAAAATCTTAAACTATAGCTAACAAATAAAAAATCATTTCAACAACTGCCACATCAGTACCTTTGCCCTTCTGCCTCTTTAGCCAGCAAGCCTACAATTCATCAGACACATGTAGGTCACCCACAGATGTGTTCTCCCAAAGAAAATAAAATGAAATTTTTTTTCCATTTATATATTTTTTCCATAATTTCATTGAGAAACAAATAGCAATGAGACAGTTTCAAACCAAATTGGTAGGAGAGTTTCAATAATTAACACATTACATACATTCTTCCTAGTGGTTGTTTGCTGTACAAGATACGGACATGATATCCTATTTACAAACACTATTAGAACAAATCCCTCTATTTATTAAGAGAATGTAATTATATATCTATCCTAGCCATTTTGTCTTTTTTTTTTTTTTTTTTTTTTTGGCAGAACTGGGGATTGAACTCAGACCCTTGCACTCGCCAGAGAAGCACTTATTCTACTGAGCCATCTCCCCAGCCCCTATCCTAACCATTTTGAATACACAGATACAAAATGGACATTTATCTGTATCCCCTTTTTTGTTTAGTTCCATTATTTGAATATTATAGGTTTGTTAACTCAGCAAAATATTCTAAAAGAGTCCAGTAGTCCATGATAGTATCGGGTCTTCCGCTTGACTGGCAATGTCGGAAATTGTTGACCTGAGTCCCTGTAAAATGAAATTTAATCAAGCTTCTAGATCTAACTATGATTTTACAGGAAATGCCAGAGATAGAGGGACAGTTAAATAAAAACATGGGAATACAGTTAGTCAAAACCAGAATGTCTTTAAGCATTCTTAAGGACAAATTGCAGCTGAGGAGATAACTCAGTGGTACAAGCACCTGACTGGCAAGTGCAAGATCCTGAATTTGATTCCCAGTACCAGAAAAAAAAAAAAAAAAAAAGACAACTTATCCACTGTCTTCAACAAATATCATGAAAAAAATATAAAGAGAACTGTTACAGATTTTAAGTGTTAGGAAACATATAAATCACATATAATATGTTGGAGCCAGTGAGATAGCTCAGTGGACTAAAGTGCCTGCTTAAGCAAGCTGCGGGGACCATGGTTCGATTCCAGCACCACGTGACATGCCAGCCCTGCCCCCAGGGCAGGCTGTGACACACCAGCCCTGCCCCCAAGGCAGGCTGAGCGGCTACAGAGTCTGGGCATAGGCAATGGTGCATGCCTGTAATCCCAGCGTCGGGAAGGCTGAAAAACAGGAGGATTACTATGAGTTCGAGCTGCATAGAGAGACCCTGCAACAACCAAATACATTAATAATAAAAAAAATACAGTATGTTAAGTTTGAATCCAGATAAATCAACTATAAAAAGGCATTTATAAGGCAACTGGAGAAAGTTGAACAAGCCTAAGTATTAAATAATCTTAAGGAGTTATTAATTTTATTGACATTATAATATGGTAGATTTAAAATGTATGTTTGAAATTTTCCATGTTTTTTTTCTTTTGGTCTTTTTGGCACAGAGTCTCACTATGGAGTTCAGGCTGGCCGTGAGCTCACTTTGTAGCCCAGGCTGGTCTCAAACTTGCAACAATCCTCGAGCCTTAGCCTCCCGAGGCTGAGAATGACAAACACACACCACCCTGCCCAGCCATGATTAATCTTTTATTTTTTTCAAGTCAAATGGGTAAGATGCCGCATCATAACAAGGTTTGTGGGAGGTACATCTCATGCATATGACATGGACACTCAGTCACCATGCTCATAAACCGAAGGACCATGATTAATATTTTTAATGGAGCTGTTTTACCATGATGTAAACTAAAGACACAAAAGATGTTCTGTTGACCTAAGTTTCTTATCACACAATGCTGAGTATTATTTTACAGTATATTAATGCCTTTTGAAAAAATGAAAGTGCATTTTTTGAAAATGCATTTAAATACTAGAGTTTTGCTACTTTTTAAGTCTTAGAATTTGTCTATAAAGCAAGTTTTATTTCTTCCTTCCTTCCTTCCTTTTTTCCTTTTTTCCCTCTTTCCTTTTTTCCTTCCTTTCTTTTGTACTGGGAATTGAGCCCAGGGCCTTCACAGTGAACTACACCATCAACCATTTTTTAAATTTTTATTTTGTAACATGATCTTGCTAAGCCACTAAATTGCCCAGGCTGGGTTCAACCTTGCAGTTATCCTACCTCAGCCTCCCAGAGTGTTGAGTTTCTAGGCATGTGCCATCATGCCTGGCCTCAAGTTTTCTTATTTCTTATATGCTAGGTAATATACAAAAGGACAGTAGTAATTTCCAGCACCTAATACAGTAACTGAGATATAATAGGCATTTAATAAATATTTGATATAACTTCACTGAAGTACTTATTATCTTTCAATTTGCTGTTAAGAAATATTCTGAGAACTAAAGCTGTCAGTAACAATATCCTAGCAGGTATCTTCCTAAAATACCATTTCATCTGGTTGTGGGGTTTTGGTGATACTGGGGAATCAAACCTAAGAGTGCTCTATTATTGAGCTGTACCTTTAAATTGTTTTGTTTTGAGACAGAATCTCACTAAATTAGATGGAATTTGAGATTGCTATTGTTCTGCCTCAGCCTCCTCCTGTGCAGGGATTACAGCCACACACTACCATATCTGACCCATTTCATCTTAATACTCCTTTATTCAGGGATTCACACTTCTATTATTTACTGCATTCAATCTTAGTTCCTCTGCCTACCTTTATGTGTGTTGTAAAATACATTACCATTAATGACAATAGCATATTCATAGTATGTATAATCATTACCACTATATAATTCCAAAATATTTGTATCACCCTGAAAGGAAACTCTGTACCCTTAAGTAATCACTGTATTTTGTTTTTCTGTGTTGTGTTTTGTTTTCTGAGACAGAGTCTTGCTGTGAAGTTTAGGCTGGTTTTGAACTCGCTATGTCGGCTGTCCTCAACCTTGCTGGGATGCTCCTGCTCTATTCTCTCAAGTGCTCGGATTGCAGGCTTACACCACCATGCCCAGCTCAGTAAGATTTCTCTACTCTCTCTTTCGCCTACCCACTGGCAACCATTAATCTAATTTCTGTCTTTATGAATTTGCCCATCCTGGATATTTCATCTGACTCCCTTTTAAAGTCCGTCAGTATATTTTCATGTTTTTATCTACACAATTTATTTTCTCTGTCTCACAAAGTAGAACTTCTTTTTCAATAAAAGTAACATAAAGGGCCGGCCAGATAGCTCAGCAGATTAAAGCGCCTGCTCAGGCAGAGCGCAGGGACCTGGTTCAATCCCCAGTGTGACGTGCTGGCCGTGCCCCCAGGACATGCTGAGACAGTAATTGAAACTGGGTGTATGGGGGCTGGGGAGATGGCTCAGTAGAATAAGCGCTTGCCTGGCAAGCACAGGGGCCTGAGTTCAATCCCCGGTTCTGCCAAAAATAAAATAAAATAAAATAAAATAAAATAAAAATGTGAAACTGGGTGTGGTGGCGCGTGCCTGTAATCCCAGCACTTGGGAGACTGAAAAACAGGAGAATGATGACTAGTCCAATCTGTGTAGTGAGACCCTGTAGACCCTGTACTAAATACATAAAAAAGCATATTATCAATCCTCACAAAAGTCTTCTAAGTGGTTTTAATATCCTTATAATGAGAACAATCGACAATTTAGAGTATATATTTAAGCAAGGTTATACATTTTGATAATTTGTGATACACATGTTTTAATTAAAACCTGATTATAGGGTTGGAGAGAGAGCTCCATGGTCTAAGCACCTGCCTGGCAAGCACAAGGACCTGGATTAAATCCCCACATGCCACGCTGGCCACTGAAACCAAGTGTGGTGATGGATGTCTGTAATCCCAGCACTGGGGAGGCTGAGACAAGAGGACCACTATGAGTCCAAGCTGTGTAGCCAGACCCCGTACCACATAATAAATAACGATTTTTTAAAATAAAGTCTAGTATTAAAACCTGATTCTAAAGCCAGTTCTCTACAATGTATATTATATATTTGTTTTTAGTAATATAACTGTTGCTCAGTATATATAAAATAAGCAGAGTTTAGGAAAATAATAGAAACGTGGAGGCAAGAGGGCCTGCCGGTTAGCTCAGTTAAGCGCCTGCGCATGCAAATACAGTCAGGCCCAGGATACCACGTTGGATCCCCACCTCTACCTGCCTTACCAGACCCGCCCTTCAGGCAGCCCGAGCCAGCCAAAAAAAAAAATCATTCTCGACTTTTAGACTGGGCATGGTGACACGCACCTATTATCCCAGTGCTTGGGAGGCCGTAGCAGGAGGATTACTACAAGTCCGATCTAGCAGTGAGACCCTGAACACTCTGTAGACCCTTCCCTAAAACTACAGGAAAAAAAAATGTGGAGGCGGGCATGGTGGCACACGCCAGTAATCCCAGCACTCAGGAGGCTGAGCCAAGAGGATCGTCACAAATGTGAGACCTGTCTGGGCTACAAAATGAACTCAAGACCAGCCTGAACTGCACAGCAGGACCCTGCTCAAAAAAGTACTAGTAATGTAATGACAAGTCTAAACACCAAGTGGCCAGAAGTAACTTCTTAGAATCTGTTAATCATAAAATCTACATGATGGAAATGCTGCTAAATGTGTTAATTAAATTTATTTTTAATTGATGCACGAAGCCAAGCATGGTGGGGCACACCTGTAATCTCAGCATTTAGGAGGCTGAGGCAGCAAGATCACCCTGAGTTCAAGGCCACCTTGGACCACATAAACAAATTCAAGACCAGTCTGAACTACATAGCAAATCCTGTCTCCAAAAAACAAACAGAGTCCTGCACTGAGAAAGGGGAGGGGAACAAGAGGAAAACAGCGTAGGATGGCGGCTCAAATCCCAACTGCGGCTGCCCCTTCCATTCCAGGGTTAGCTCAGAATAGCAAGAAGAGGCCTGCCAGCCCTTCTGGCGGCAGCAGCAGCAGCAGCAGCAGCAGCAGCAGCAGCAGCAGCAGCAGCAGCAGCGGAGGGATGTGGCGCCAGAAAGAAGAAAAAGATACCATCAGGCGCTGGCTGTGCAGCCGGCAGTGTGGGTGCGCCGCCATCCTTAAACCAGCTAACAAGCACTCTGCTGTCTCCAGCCTCCTTGTGAACTACACAGACCCTCTGCACAAGCTGGGCTTCAGCGCCTTCACAGAGTTTTCCTACATTCGGAGGCTGCCCTCCGCTGTCATCATTGGCCACCTGACTCTAAGGAAGGCCACCAGCATTGTTCCCTGAGCCTGAGAGATGGAAACAAGGTGCAGACTGCTTCAAAGGCAGACCAGACTCATGATTTGGTTTCATGGAAACAACTCATCCTGTTGTCAATCTGAAAATGTCAGAGTGCTGCACCCTGGAAAGAATGTTTGGCTTTAAATTAAAGAGTTTTTTTCTGTTGTTCCTTCGACTGTGATATTTCCTGTTGAATTAAATTATACTTCAGTTATTACCTCAAGTAAAATTAACAAGAAAATACAAAACAAGTTGATACATAAAAACCTAAAACTTAAATATATTAATGACATAGTATATGATGTTTCAATTCATGTAATCAGGGCCAGTGAGATGGCTCAGTTGACTACAGCCTCCCCAGCAACACATGCTGTGCCACCCCCTGCCCCAGGTGTGGTGGTCCCAGCGCTGGGGAGGCTGAAAAGAGGAGGGTCACTACAAGTCCACACTGCATAGTGAGACTCTGTACTAAATACATAAAAAAAGAAAAATTACATATATGCATTATATAATGTTTAAATCAGATTAAACATGCCTTCTCAAATATCTGTCATTTATTTATGATGAAAAAAATCCTTTCTTCTAGCCTTTTGCAATATACAGTCTATGGTAGCTGTAACCATCTTGCTGTGCACCTGTTGAATTAAATTATACATAGAGCTTCTCACCTCTATGTAATTAGAATGACATCCATTGACCAAGTTTTCCATCTCTCTTTCCTCCTGCTCTCCAGTGTCCAGTAAGCACCTGTTATGGTTTGTGTCTAGTTGTCCCCCCCAAAGCCTCGTGTAGTCATGCGGTGGCTTCTGAAGTTTATGATTTAATTCTTGATCCAGTGCTGGGATTGCAGGCGTGAGTGCTACACACTGGCCCTGGGGTGGGTAATTTGCATTACATTGTGAGAGGAGAGAGGCTAGCTAGCTGGCTGAGCTACTGCCACCCCCTTTGCTCTCTGCTCTTTGCCACTGCCATGAAAGGCTGCTCTGTGCCATGTGCCACACACTGCCTTGGAGCCAGCTGAGTATGGACCGAAACCTCCACTAACTGGGCTAAATAAACTTCTCTTTCCTTCATTTTGAGTGTCAAGTATTTGTCCCAGCAATGAGAGAAGGGTAACTGAGACAGCACCGTTGTACTCACAAGTGCGATGGGATCAACTAAGATTCCATGTATGGGTGACACGTAGTACTTGTCTTCCTGCATCTGATTTGTTTCCTCTAACACACTCTCCGTCTACCTCAGTCTATATTGCTTTTTGTTGGGGGTCATTTATTTAGTGGTGCTGGGGAGTGAACTGAGGGTCTTGTACATGCTAGGCAAGGGCTCTACCACCAAGCCACACTTTGAGACCAATTCCATTCACATTGTTGCAAATACAGGATCTCATCTTTTTTGATGGATGAAGTGTTTCACTGTGTACATGTGTCACACTGTTCACTCTATTCATTCATCAGTTAATGGACACAAGTTGTTGCCATTTCTTGGTTATTGTGAATAGTTCTGCAGTAAACGTGGGGCTCTAGAGGTCTCTTCAGCATACTAGCTTCATTTCCTTTGATATAGTTCTAGTAATGGGCCAGCTGAATCATAAGGATTTTCCCACATTCTTACCAGCACCTGTTTTGTCTATATGATAATGGCTATTCTTACTGGGGTAAGGTGATACTTCAGTGTGGTTTTAGCTTATATTTCCCTAGTGATTAGAGAGGTTCAGTATCTTCATATGCCTGTTGGCCATTGCTACGTCTTCTTTAAGAAATGTGTGCACGGGTCTATTGTCTCCCCGCTTCCCAGGTCCCCTTCAGTGCTGGAAATTCAGTCCAGACTTCATCCAGAGCTACAGCCCTAGCCCTTCTCAAATTTTTCTTTTCCCTGTCAACTTTATTCTTTGATGACACTCCTCCTACAGAAGGTTTTATTCTGCCTGAATATCTGACTGGTGGCTGAAGGAGCACAGAGAACCTTTTTTTATTGCTAGAAAAATAACATTGACTGCTGCAAGAGTGGTGGGTGTCTGTGCTGTTTGTTGTCGACTCCAGGGTTCAGGGAGGGTCACTGCAGCAAGAGAAGTCTGTCACCTCCAGCCCTAATCCATCTGCACACATATGTCCCTGTAGCTTCCCTGGTGGGAAGGAGCTGCCACCTCCCACCCCCTGCCCCTGGCACTGATGTGCTACAAGTGCTTCCTGTTGTGCTCTGGGCCTAGACATGGCCATGGGGCCAGTGAAACCCACAGCCTTATCCTCGGGTCCATAGTGGGCTTGGTTGGCTTAAATGCTGAGGGAAGGGAGGTGCTCTTCAAGTTCCAGTCAGTGGGCATCTGGAAGGGCCAGAAGCAACAAACTCAGCCAGCCCAAAGCCCAGCCTGAATCTTGCACCCCTGGGTTCTGCACTTTGTGGGGTTGACAGTCATCTCCAAAAGTCAGTGGACCAGCATGGCAATTCTTTTAGTGAGCTTAGATCATGATATTGGCTGTTGAGACAAGAGTGAGGCCCTTTCTTGTTGGTACTGCCATTGTTTATTAAATGTCTCTGTTTGGCACATGCCTGTAATTCCAGCTGTTCAGGAGGCTGAGGCAGGAGCATCTCAGGTTGAGGCCATCTTGGGCATTTACTCAGAGACTGTCTCAAAAAATGCGGGGATGTAGCTCAGCAGTAGAGCGCGAGCCTAGTACATGCAAGTGCCAGGGTTCGATCCCAGAGCTGCAAAAAGGAAGTCCATGGGTACAGCAGGACTGCAAGGCATGGACTGGGGAGGATCAAGGCAAGATTGGAGGGGTGGGCTGGCTGGTGTGCTTCTCGTCTCACCCAGGCCAGCCCAAGGAGGTGCAGAGGTGAGCAGCTGCTGGCTTCCGAGGCCTGGGGCAGGGTCGTTAGGAGCCCAGGCAGGCTAGCTGTTGGTCCACCGGGAGAGGAGGCCCATCCCAGGCTCAGTGATGGATCGCACGAGCAAGTACGGGGCTTCCTTCCTGGGTGGCTCCTTGGAGGCGGCAGCCTTGGTTGACCTGGGCACAGTGCACGAGGTGTCCAGGAAGTTCTCGTCCACTACTCGGAAGCAGATCTCCTCGCCCGTGTGCATGTACCGGTCATGCGCGCCCTCCTCCGTCTCCTGCTGTTACACCTGCTCTACCTCGTCGAATTTAGCCGGTTACTGCGAAGACTCCGGGAGGATGAGGATGTCGTCGAAGAACCCCAGGGAGACATGTACTCATTGGGCTGCAGCCCTTGATCTTCCCCATGAAAATCGCATCCAGGAACGGGAGGAACATCATACAGGGGAAGCAGACTTCGGTGTGCGACGCGCCATCCCCTGGGAACACGCAGGAGTCCTCCAGGCTGGTGATGTCGAACAGGCAGGCAGAGTCCCAGTTTGTACACGACCTTGTTGGCCAATTTCTTGTTCAACTCCTCAGCAAAGGAGTCGTTGAGCTTCCTGTCAAACTGCCACGGGGGTAGGGTGGGGGCCGGGGTGTGGATCCCCACTACGACCACCATCTCCACCAGGACGGACATCCCTGCGTCCTCTGGGGGCTCCTGTCCCTTTATCCAGTTGCCTCTGGATTACACGACATATGTGAGGATCTTCAAAATTTTTATTTTGAGACAGGGCCTCACTAAATCATTAAGTTGCCCAGACTGGGTTTAAGCTTGTGTTCACCTCCGAGAGATGTGATTATGCCCCTGTCTTAGCTTCCCTTTTGTCTTTTTTTTTTTTTTAATGTATTTGCTACAAGGTCTCACTATACAGCTTGGGCTCATAGTGATCCTCCTGTTTTCAGCCTCCCCAGCACCGGGATTACAGGGGTATGCCACCACGCCCAGTCTCGCTAGCGAGCTCAGCAACCCCAAGGTGGGGCCGGCAGGGCATGGGGTAAGTGGGGATCGAACCTGGGTCCTTGTGCTTGCCTAGATAGGCGCTTAGACCGCCGAGCTGTCTCCATGGCCCCTTTTCTTCCACTTCATAGCTTGTCTCTTCACTCTGATGACTGTTTCATTTGCAGTGCAGAGCTTTTTTATGAAATTTAATTCCATTTGTCTACTTTCGCTTTTTTGGTTTCCTATGCTTTTTGGAGTCATTAAAACAAATAAACAAACAAACAAAACCCTTGCTCATTACAATGTCCTAAAGCATATCTACTGTTTTCTACTAGTAGTTTCATAATTGCAAGTCTTTTTTTTTTTTTTTTTCCAGAACCGGGGATTGAATAATTCCACGTGTTACCTTTAAGTCTTTCACCCATGCCGAGTTGACTTTTTTTTTTTAACTAATAAATAGTGTTGTTCCTCTGCATGTAGGTGCCCAATTTTTCCAGCACCACTTATTGAAAATGCCATCCTTTTTCAAATGTGTATTCATAACATCCTTGTTGAAAACCAGTTGGCTGACTTAATGGTTTTATTTCTTTCCATTCTGTTCCTTGGTCTTTATGTTTATTTTTATGCTAAGACCATCCTGTTTTGATTATTATAGCTTGTGCTATTATTTTCAAGTCTGGTAATGCGATGCTTTTGGCTTTGTTCTTTTTGCTGTAGTTTGCTTTGGCTATTCAATTGTAAAAGATCCTATCTGAAATATTTATTTAAATTATATATGAAGGAACAGAATTTTAAAATCCTAACTTCACCTTGCCCATTAGATGACAAAATTTCTAGTCTGGCAAAACCAGAGACAAATCAATAATAGCAGCATTTATTATAAGAATCATGAGGCCTCTTTAGGTGAATTACTCTAATGAGCAGGGTTTTTGTTTTTTGTTTGTTTGTTTGTTTGTTTGTTTTTGCAGAACTGGGGATTGAACTCAGGCCCTTGTGCTTACGAGGCAAGCGCTTACTCTACTGAACCATCTCCCCGGCCCCTAATGAGCAGTTTTTAAAGATAGATTCTTAATACTAAGTATCATCTAAAGCCAAGAAAAAAATTTTTACCTGGTTTGGAACTCTGGAGTTTTACACTCTAAAAGAAAAAGGAAAGAAAAAAATGTAAGAAAATAATATGTACATATAAAATTCAAAGCAATAAATAGCATTTTTGAAAATTATATTTCATATATTTATAGAGAGAGTTATGAAATGTAGATGCTATTTTTCCTAATTAATACATGTGTTGAATTATAAAAAGGAAAAAAAAAAGAATTATGAAAAGGTATCCTTACTCTTTTTTTCTTTTTTTTGGTCTGAGTCAGGATCTCACTATGCAGTTTAGGCTGGTCTTGAACTCACTTTGTAGCCTAGGCTGGTCTCGAACCTACAACAATCAGTTTCCTGAGTGTCGTGTCCTTAACTCTTACAGTGATTTTTATATTATGTGGCCTTTAGTCCTCAACTGATCCCCTCCTAACTTGTTTTCTACTTAGAACATTTTTCTTGAAAATTTATTTGGAGATAAATTATTGAAAATGTGGTTACTTCGTGACACTGGACTGGGAAAGGGAGTGATTATTCTTTCCTGTAAGCATTAAGATAAAGACCACGTGGTTCAGGGGGAGAGCTCAGCAGTGTAAGTGCCTGCATGGCAAGCACAGGATCGAGTTCAATCCCTAGTGCCCGTGCCAGGCAGGCCCCACCCTGGGCACCCGTGCTGGCCACTGAAACCAGGCATGCTGGCTATAATCCCAGTGCTGGGGAGGCTGGGACAGGAAGATCACCACAAGCCTGAGCTGTGTAGAGGGAGCCTGTACCAAATAAATTTAAAATAAATAAAGAAGACTACTATATTTGTACATATTACTAACAATAATAACAGTTACTAGTATATTAAACTATTTGTTGATTTATTTATGGTATTGAGGATTGAACCAGGGCCTTGCCCGTGATATGGAAGTATTCTATCGCTGAAATATGTCCCCAAGTCTCATTAATTTCTTTCTTTCTTTTTTTTTTTTTTTTTTTTTGCGGTACTGGGGATTGAATTCAGGACCCTGCGCTTGCCAGGCAGGCACTTATTCTACTGAGCTATCTCCCCACCCTATTAATTTCTTTTGCTACAGGGTCTCACTAAATTGCTAAGGTGGGCTTCAAACTTGAAATCTTTCTGCCTCATTCACCCAAGTACCTGGAATAACAGGTGTGCACAACCACACTTAGGACTAAATTGTCATTTTAAAAAGTAGAAAATATTTTCTTCAGTATTAAAGTTGTAAGGACTTTTAAACATTTGTTATTTTTTGATCTCCTGATATTTTAATATAGCTGATTCCAAATATACCCACAAAAGATTGCTAAAAGTATAGTTTTTTCCCAGAAGGGGAGCATATTATTCTGAAGGGTCATTTTAGGCAATATACATGGCTTTCATTGCAATACCTTTTCACAGTTAATAGGCTACCCACTTGAAATGACTACAGTGAATAAGCTCCCTGCTCATGAAGCATTTATTTTGCCTCAACTATCCTTCCAGAATCAGTGTTTCCTCATTCACTAAGCCTCCTTGATTTCTTCCAATATGAAGGAACTTCCAATACTTTGAATCTCTTTATTTTTATAATATTCATCATTTTTGCTATGTTACAACAGAACAATATAGAGTCAAAAATAAAGACTATGTACACATTCTGTATTTCAACTGTAAGTTTTTTGTTGTTTGTTTGTTTGGTTGGTTGGTTGGGTTTTTTTGTTTTGTTTTGTTTTTGGTTTTTTTTGCAGAACCGGGGATTGAACTCAGACCCTTGCGCTTGCCAGGGAAGCGCATATCCCACTGAGCCATCTCTCTGGCCCCCAAAATGAATATGTCTTTGCTTTTTTTTTTTTTTCCTCCTGGTACCAAGGATCAAACTCAGGATCTTGTGCTTGTCAGGCAGGCACTTAAGCCACTGAGCTATCTCCCCAATCAGTTGGTTGGTTTTTAAAGACAGTATCTGACTATGTAGTTCATGCTGGCCTAAAATTCACTGTGTAGCCTGGGCTGGGCTTGAACTCAGTGCAATCCTCCTTCCTCAGCCTCTTAAGAGCTAGGATTACAGGCACATACCACAAGCCCAGCTTACCTGTAAGTTTCTTAAGAGTAAGAATTGTTTCTTATACATCTCTCTCATTCCTCACATCTTGTTTTATATTTAACATCTACTAAATATTATTGAATGATAGATGCTAAAAATACATAGCAGAGGGGACTGGTGAGATAGCTCAGTGGATGAAAGCACCTGCTTAGGCAAGCTTAGGCAAGTGCAGGGACTGCAGTCTGATTCCTGGTACCACATGCCACCCCCAAAGTAGGTTGAGCCAGTCAGAGCCCAGGTGTAGTGGTGTACACCTGTAATCCCAGCACTGGAGAGGCTGAAAACAAGAGGATCACTAAGAGTCCAAGTTGTGTAGTGAGACCCTGTAACAACCAAATACATTTAAAAAAATAAATGAACAGTAACAACAACAAAAATACATAGAAGAAAAGTAGAGTCTGTTAAATCCAAATAAGAAGTGGTATGGTTTAAGATCCGGGGAGATGGCTCAGTAGAAGAAGCACTTCCCTGGCAAGCGCAAGGGCCTGAGTTCAATCCCTGGTTCCACAAAAAAAAAAAGTATTTTGGGGGCCAGAGAAATGGTTCGGTAGAATAAGCGCTTGCTCATGTCAGACACTGACAAAAGGATGTACAAAGGGCTGTACAGGGCTACAGGATAAATCCTGAGAGTACTTGACTGACCTTATCAGATACAAAAGTTACATTTCTTGTTATATAGGTCTTGCTATATATTGGTCTTAATCATCCAGCAGAAAAGTATAAAAATGAGGTATATAAAGTAAATCCATATTAATACGATGAGCTGTAAAAGGCTCAAGTCAATAACTTCTGAGGATAACCCACTGATATTATAGACTGCTAGACAGTGTTAGATTGTTTAGTTGAATTCAAACACCTATAGTATTTGGATGCCAATAGAATATTCACCTCTGACAGGACAAAAAAAAAAGGATACAAAGGAAAGATCATTTTGTATTTATATATACAAAATAGGATAAATTTATAGCTACTTTCACTTAATTCAAAGAGAAGAAAGAGGTGTACTAACAGTGTTTGGACAGAATATCCTGTCTGCTTCTTGTACTATGGATAACCACTAAGAAGATAACAATGTACAGTGTATTGATTATCAAAACTGTCCTATTAATCAGCTGTGAAACTGTTTTATTCATATTTATTTCTCAATAAAAAAAGTAAAAAAGAAATAACCCGACTTTAAAATGAGCATAAGTTTTAAACAGACATGAATATAAAAAAGATATATAAATGGCCAACAATCATACAGAAAGGTATTCATTGGGGAAATGCTAGTTCAGACCACAATGAAATACCACTTTAAATCCCCTAGGATAACCGTAAGAAAAATGCAGGCAACAAGAAGTATTGCTTGATGATGGGAGAAATTGGAATCTTTACACATTTGCTATGAGGTATAAAATGGTCCAACTACTTTGAAAAGCAGTTTAGTAGCTCTTCAAAATGTTCAACAGAGTTACTATAAGACCCAGAAGTACTATTCCCAGGTTTATGCCCAAGAGAACTAAATGTATGACCACATAAAACGGTGTAAAGAAATGCTCAGAGCAGCATTATTCCTAACAGTCTGAGAGAAGAAGCAATCTAAAGGGCCATCACCTGATGAACAGATGAGCAAAACGTGGTCTATCCATTCAGTGGACTCTCATTCAGCCACAGGAACGGATAGGCATGCTACAGTACACAGGAGCCTTGAGAGCATTTTGCTCTATGGAAGAAGCCAGGCATAAAAAGCTACACATTATATACTTCCATCTATTAGAAATTTCCACAATCGATAAATTATATGCATCCATTATTTTCCTTAGCTGGAACAAGTTTCTTAAATTGTGATTCAGTTCTATAAATGTACCCTAAGAAACTCCTGGGGTTCTTCTCCGGCAGTTAGTTCTACTTGTGTCTCTGCTCCCTGTCCCTGCAAGGTGGCTAATATAAGTCCCAAGCTGTATACTCTTAGAGAATAAAACAGAGAATATTCCCCCCTGCAAAAAAAAAAAAAAGAATAAGCGTTTGCCTGGCAAGCACAAGGGCCTGATTTCAAAACCCTGGTTCCACCAAAAAAAAAGAAGCAGTACAGTTTATATCTAGATGTCTCCCTAGAGCCTCATGCACTCGTAAGCAGGGCTTTTGGAAGATGACTGGATTATGGGGGCTTACAGCTGAGTGCTGTTGGGGGGTTGGTCAGAAAAAGGGGGCACTGAGAGTGTGTTCTCTCCCTGCCCACTTCCTGCCTTCCCTCTGGGCTTGCTGGTCAGCAGGAGGTGAGCAGCACTTCCTCCTCTACTCCCCTCTGCCGTGTGCCTTGCTTGGAGCCAGCTGATTATGGACTGGGAAAAAAAAAAAAAAATCTGTGAACTGTGAGCCAAAATACACTTTCCTCCTGTAAGCTGCAAGGGTTGAGTATTTTGTCCCCTGACAAAAGAAAGTAACTGAGAAAAGAAGTCAGGAAAAAAAGTGATTGACCTTGTTTGACCTAAGTCTCACAGAGTCATCAAATGTCTTTGATGCACATGTTCCACTGTGTTCCGGCGATTGTCCAATGCTTATCTTCACAGGGGATGGTAAGGATCTGGGTACACTTGGTGGCAATTCTCCTGGAAGAAAGTGAACATGGCCCAATTCTTAGGAGCTGTCCTTTTCTTCTGGAGCTCAAATGTTGCCCATCAGTAGCACACAGAACCCTGGGGGGCCTAAGAAGAGATACGCTGTATACTTACTGAACTGTACTCACCCACTTCCTCTACCACGATGAAAGACTCAGGTGTTCGTTCAGGAAGTGGAGGGGGGGTTTCATCATCTATCTGTGGAGAAGCTGCTATTGAAAATGTCAGAAATATAACCACAATTTTTGGTTAGAACATCCAAAAGAATTTCTTACAGTCTAATCTCTACTATAGATTTTACAGAATGTGTGCTTAAATTCCATTAAACATCACTAACAGTAATTTAGCTGGTACTTGTTCACTCCAGGAAAAATCAGGATAAATTTGGAGCCAGCTGATTATGGACTGAAAAAAATCTGTGAATTGTGAACCAAAATAAACTCCAATTTATTGGCTCCAATCAATCAGAATAAACAAACTCAGGAGATTTTTCTTACTCTTTGAAATATATTTCTGGGGACACGGAGATAGCCCAGCGGTCTAAGTGCCTGCCTGGGCCAGCACAGGACCCAGGGTTGATCCCTGATACTACATGTCATGCCAGCCCCACCTTGGGTGTGCTGAGCCAGCCACCAAGACCAGTGTGGTGGCACATCCCTGGTAATCACAGTGCTGGGGAGTTTGAAACAGGAGGATCACTATGAGTCCAAGCTTCATAGTGAGACCCTGGACCAAATACATAAAAAGATTTTTTTAAAAAAAATACAACAAAATATTTCATCTATTTTTAAAGTCTAAAATTATTTTCACTGAACCACTAAGTATCAGGATTGTTCTCTACAGTACTCTTTTTTTTCTCTAACATAGAATATTTAATATAGTCCTATAAGACACTTGGATTTGACAAAGATTCCATTATACTATCGGTAAAACTTTAGTATCTCTGCTTTGTTCCACAAGGAATCCAAGAAAAGAGATGTTTTTTGTTTTTACAAAACAATAGTTTTGCATGGACTTTTATACTTCTATAGAAATATTCAGAATTTTTTTTATTTTTAAAGAGAGTACAAATTAGAATTAAAACAGAAAAAAATTATAAGTGATACAGAATTTCACTTAAAGTAATATGAATTTCACAGTATTTGTTGTAATACATAGTGTTGTCTTCCAACTGGTTATTCATATTACCAGACATATGTATATAAAATTGGAAGAAAGAAATGTATAAGAATTTAAGAAGAGAAAAAGTACAAACAGTTTTAAAAAGGAGACAAAACAAATTAAATACTATCTGCTCCTTTCCATAGACCAGCAGAAATGCACAGTACAGTTGTCCAAACCATCCTGCTTACATACATAAATAAACCTCTTTCCCCCACCCCCTCTCCTATCCTTCTCCTCAACTCAGTAATTCTTTCCTTTTGAATCAGTTCATTCCTTTTTTCCAATATCTATTGTACCCTTCAGATTCCATTTTTCTCTTACAGGTTCTCACACTAAGAAGACAATGTTCAGAATTTATACAGAAATTTTAAGTGCTATTATGAGAAATTGCCACAAGATGGCCCATGTCAATGTTGTTACACTCCCTGAAAACAATTATTTTAAAAATTATATTAATACTGTGAGAAGTCTAAGGTATTATGATGACCTAAAAAAAGAAAATATCCTTAAATTGAAAAAAAAATCTGTAAACAAAGAATACAAAACCGTAAAATCAAGTTTATAACAAAGTGTATAAAATAATTTAAATCAAATAAGAAACTTTCTAAATCCAGATAAAAATTTTTGCAATGAAGCTATAAATGATCTACACATCTGTTAAGAAGTTTTATACCTGGATTGGGAAGGTAGTTCATGGCTAGAATGCTTACCCAGGATGCATGAAGCCCTAGATTCAATCCTCAGCACAAGAAAAAAGAAAACTACCTAATTGTCATGGTGTATGCCTATCTCAAGTTCAATCACAGCCTGGAAAATTTAGCAACATAGAACTTCCTTCAAAATAGAAAATTTTACAAAGGTTGTGGGGGGATGCTGGGGAGATAGCTCAGAGGCATAAGCAGCTGCCTGGCAAAGCACAAGGTCCCGAGTTCATCCCTAGACCCAGGCATGGTGGCGCATGCCTGCAATCCCAGCACTTGGGAGGTTGAGACAGGAGGACTGCTGCGATTTTGAGACCAGCCTGAGAGCTACAAAAGTGAGCACAGGGCTAGCCAAATGGCATTGGGAGACCCTGTCTCAAAAAATAATAATAACAATAAATAAAAATAAAAAAGGTTGGGGTTGTAGCTCAGCAGGAAGACTTTGGGTTTAATCCCCAGTACCACACACCCAACATACCCCTGAACATTCAATAATATTACTGAGCAAAAGTTTTCTTTAGGGCTGGTGAGATAGCTCAGGACTGATAAGATAGCTCAGCAGACTAAGCGCCTGCTTAGGCAAGATCAGGGAGCGGGGTTCAATCCCCTGCGCCACATGTGGCGCCCACTCCACCCTCGGATGCACTGAGCCAGCCACTGAGTCTGGGCGCATGCCTGTAATCCCAGCACTGGGGAGGCTAAAAATAGTAGGATCACTACGAGTCCAAGCTGTGTAGTGAGACACTTTAACAACCAAATACATATTTTTTTTTTCTTCACGTCCTACCTAAGTAGAGTGGTCTTTATTTTTTAAGTTTAATTTTTTTTTTTTTTTTTCAGATACCGGGGATCCAACTCAGGACCTTATGCTTGCCAGGCAGGCGCTTATGCCACTGAGCTATCTCCCCAGGCCTGTAGAGTGATCTTTATAAATTATCTAAGAGAGTTGAACTCGCTCTTTGCATTCCCTCATCTTCCTCCATATAAATTATTATAATCTAGGCTGGGGATGTAGTTCGGTAGTAGAGTTCTTATCTAAAATGCACAAGATCCTGAGTTCAATCCCCTGTACCACAAAACAAAAAAAATAAGTATAATAATCTCTTAAAATAAATATTATTTCTACTCTCAGAAAGTTCAGCTAAACAAAACAATATACATAAAATATATAAAAATTCCAGAATTATAAGAGGTATCAAGTATGAAAGTAATGTAATAAAATTTCATACAAAACTAAAGGTGTAAAATAATAATTAAAATTCCATACAAAACATCCAACAGATATTCTCATCTACTAAAAAAAGAAAAAGAAAGGAAATGAAAAGGAGGGCAGAAAACCAAGTTTTCCAAGTCCCGTGGGAAAATAATTCAGTGCTTCAAAAGCTGTTCAACTCATTAGTCACCCAATTGTACAACAAAAGTTTTCAGTGATGGTGTGGTTCTGTTGATCAGATTTTTTTTTCTGTCATTTTTTTGGAAGCTGTTTCTTAAGCGTAAACTGTAGGCCTCTGGAAAACATTTCCAGAAGTGAGGCTGACCTCGTTAGAAGGCCTCCCACCGGCACAGATCTCGTACCAGATCTTACTGCCTGTTTCTCGGCCTATTACATATTTGATGCTGTTTTCAAGTTATCACATCATTAAAACATCCCTGGAATTTATTTCTTTGAGGAAGAAAAGGAAAAAGAAAGACAATTAAGCAGAGGAGAAAAAGGGGTAGGTTAAGAAGATATCAAATAGTCTATAGAAACAGTAAAATCTAAATGGCATTACATGGGACCTGGGAGATAGCTCAGTAGTGTAAGCGCTTGCCTGGCAAGCACAAGGGTCTGAGTTCAATCCTTGGTTCAAATAAATAAATAAATAAATAAATAAATAAAAATTAAAAAAATAAAATGGTATTACAAACTTCAAAAAATAACATACCCAATCCAACTGTCTCTTGGTTCAGTTGTGGGCAAAAATTGGTCAGAGGATTCAATGGTGAAGAGTCGCTTGAGTTGTGGTAAGGAAGGAGGGTCGTAGAGGGTGCTGGCAGCGAAGAGCAGGGAAACACAGCTCCATCTTGGTTCTCAGGTAAATCAAGAGACATCTTCGAATCAGCACTACTTGGAAGCAACGGTGAAAAGTAAGGATCTTCTACTAAAGACATGCAAGAATACACACTCAGAGGACTACGGCCACGCTGCTTTCCGGACGCGGCGCCACACATTTGGTGGGTTGAGTCATAGGGCGGAGAACAGCTCAGTTCTTCTGAAGAAACATGTGTCCCTCTGTTAGCCTGGAACTCCGCAAGGTAAGAAGTGTGGGCTCGAGATTCCGAACACGAAAACTTTTCCTTAACGTCCAACCCCCCAGTTATTTGCTGCTGTCTCAATTCAAACGGAGTTGATTTGGTTCGCATTATAGGCCCCTTTGAATTAAAACATGTTCCTGCTGCATTTATACTTTGAGGATTAGGACTTGCCCTCAAGACAATGGAGCTGAAGTCCAAACTCCTGTGCTTCTGCAGAGGTTCCCCGACCGCTGACAACATCTTTGTCTGCCATTTCTTGGTTGCATCAGTGTTTTTGTTACAACAATAATTCAGTTCCAAGAAGTCAAAAGATGGGCTTGATCCAGCAGGGTGCAAAACTAACTCTTCCCTTGCACTTCTTTCAGAAGTCCTAAAGTTGAAGGAAGAAACTTCCGCATTTTCCACCTTCAACTTGTGTTTGCTTTGTTGGTTCATCATTTTTTCTTCTTTTGTGGTGCTAAAATAAATAGACAAAGAGGTAATGATGATGCCGTATCTCAAAAAGGCCTTTTCCCAGCATCAAAATAAAGCATAAGGGCATCATCTACCTTCCACAGCCAACATTTAGACATGTAATGTGATACTTGCCTTTTTGGAAAATTAGGAGAATGAGGAGCTGCTTGAAGAGCAGGATTTTGCTCAGGAATTGAATACTCTGCTTGAACCTTCAAGAGAAGTAAGTCAGAGATTGCTGTGTAGTGGAGTAATGGCAAGGAAATATTTTAACATTCAAAAGGCCAATAAGTAATTTTTCAGAAAATATAAGATTTAAAATAATTCATGGAAGATTTAAATATGCTTCTGAAATATTGAACCCAGCAAGAACTTGTTCATATAATGAGCTAACGGTTTAGAATAAGGGATTAGTAGTGTCATTTAAACCAAAAAGAATCTGCTTGTAGTTTTTTTGTTTGTTTTTCAAATGTGGGAGTTGGGGGTGGGATCAGCAAACTCTACTTTCAGAAATTTTAGTATCTCAAGCCTTAGAGTTAATAGGAGCTTAGGCTTGCCATTTTCCTGTCTTGTTTTCCTCTCCTCCACAATGCATGCTGGCTTTCTTGCCCTCCTTCCGTTCCACAGGTACTATTGCTCCAGATTTCATATGGCTGGCTCTTTTTTTATTATTATTTTTTTTAGGGAAGGATGTACAGGGTGTTCAGGGTCTCACTACTAGATCAGACTCAGTGATCCGCCTGTTTACAGCCTCCCAAGAGCTGGGATTACAGGCATGCGCCACCATGCCCAGTCTCAACTGCATCTCAGTGTGCCCCAGGGGCGGGGCCAGCATGGCAGGCTCAAGGATCAAACTCCTGGCCCCTGCGCCTGCTTGCAGGCACTTTAATCCACTGAGCTATTTGGCTGGCCCATGGCTGGCTCTTTTTAAAGGATTAGATCTTTGTTTAAATGTCATAAGGAAATTTTCCTGATCACTCAACCTACCATGTCCCCATGCTTACCCTGCTACTCTCAACCATTATTTTCTTTATGGTAATTATCATATTATGAAATTTATTAGTGCAGTTCATAGAATCATATTATACTATTGTTTGCTAATTATATCTTGAACTCAGAGATATTAAAATGTAAAAATACATCACTATAATTTTAAGATATGACCTGTTATGGATTTGTGTCATCCCAAAGTTATATTGACATCTAGGGGGCCACCAGCTTGGGTCCCCTTCTGTCTCTCTCTCAAACAGGAACTTTCTTTTCCCCAATAAATATATTCTGTTCTAAAAAAAAAAAAAAAGAAAGAAAGAAAGAAAAAATAAATCTTTAGCCCTGGTATCTGTATGCTCTTACTTGGAATTAGCGTAGGTGAGGTGATACTGCAGTAGAGTGGGACGGGATAGAAAGACATGTGTTCTCATGAGAAGAGAAAACAGCAACATAGAGACACACAGGAGAACACATGTGACAGGGAGACAGGCTGGAGTCATGACTCCACATGCCAGTGAATGGCAGAAATTGCCAACAGACACAGAAACAGAGGCAAGAAAGATTCTTCCTCTACAGCTCTAGAGAACACGGTTCTGCCAACTCCTAAACTTCAGACTTCAGGCTCCAAAACTGTTGGGAGATAAATTCGCATTGTTGTCAATGTCCCTGGCTTGTAGTATGTGTGACACCAACCCTCGTAAACTAACACAGACACGTCCACACCAACGTCCAGTGATGGATAGGAAAGCCAGACTGCTGTTCAATAAATAAACAGAGAACTGAAAAAAAGCACCAGGAACCAAACAGACTTGACAGACGTATGTAGAACACTATATCCAACAACAGGAGAATACACATTCTTCTCAAGTGTACCTGCAACACTCTTCGGGATGGTAAGCCATATGTTAGGGCACAAAATAACTCATAATTAATGTTAAAAGGCATCATACGAAGTGTCTTTCCAAATCACAGTAGAATAAAACTAGAAATAAATAACACAGGAGAAGTTGAAAATTCCCAAATGTGTGGCAGTTACACAACACACCCTTAATCAAGCAATGGATCAAAAATAAATCACAAGGGAAACTAGAAAATATCAGTGACAAATATAAACAAAAATACAACAAAACAGAACATATGAGAAACAGTGAGGCCAGCATTCCTGTAATGCCTGCACTTGGGAGGCTGAGGCCAGAGGATCACTGAAAGTTTATAGGCTTCTTTTTGTTTTTTCTTTTGGTGGAAGGGGGATTGAACTCAGGCCCTTGTGCTTCCCAGGCAAGCGCTTATTCCACTGAGCCATCTCCCCCGCCCATCACTGCAAGTTTGAGGCCTACCAGGGTTACGTAGCGAGTTCAGTGCAAACCTGAACTACATAGCGAGACCCTGTCTCAGAAAAGAACAAAACACACAAACACACGTGTGCGCATGCACACACACACACACACACACACACACCCTTCTCAACAAACAAAAGTCAAAGAATCAAAAGTCTTCACTTATAAATTATTTTCCTTTCTTTCTTCCCATTCTCCTGCCCTCTCTCACTCCACCTCTCCCTCCCTTTCTTCCTTCCTTTTTGTAGTTTTCTTTTTTTCAATACTGGAGACCAACTGAACCAGAGCCTTACACATAGTTAGCAAGCACTCTACCACTGAACTACATCCTCAACACTTTTTTGGGTTTTACGAAGGATTTTTTTTTTTTTTGGCTGGCTCAGGCTGCCTTGAGAGCGGGTCTGGTGAGGCGTAAGGAGCTGGGGATCAAACCATGGTCCCCTGCACCTGACTGGGTTTGCCCCAGCAGTCACTTAAACAACTGAGCTAACCCAGAAGATCCCTTGGTTTTTATTTTAAAACAGGGTGTCATTAAGTTGCCATGCATAACAGCACGATAGACCTGGAGTACATGATGCTACATGAAATAAGACAAGTACAGGAAAACAAGGACTATGTGATCTCATCTTTATGTGGAATTAAAACAAAAATAAAACTCATCAAAGCAGAGTAGGATGGTGGTTACCAAAAAGAGGAAGGGAGGATATGGTGACTACACTTAATATAGTGGATGCTTACATTTTAAGGAACATAGATTTTAAAGGAAAAAATGAGCCAGGCACGGTGGCACATGGCTGTAATCCCAGCACATGGGAGGCTGAGGCAGGAGGATTGTTGTAAGTTCAAGACTAGCCTGGGCTACAAAGTGAGCCCAAGACCAGCCTGAACTGCATAGTGAGATGCTGTCTCAAAAAGACAAAATATAGGGCTGGCAAAATAGCTCAGTGGGTTGAAGGGCCTGCTTAGGCAGACACAGTGGCTGGGGTTCGATCCCTGGCCCGCCATGCTGGCCCCACCCCTGGGGTGTGCTGAGACAGTGATTGAGACTGAGTGTGGTGGCACATGCCTATAATCCCAGCTCTTTGGGAGACTGAATACAGGTGGATCACTATAAATCCCATCTACATAGTGAGACCCTGTAGTCCCTCCAGACCCTTACTAAAATAAAAAAAAGACAAATAAATAAAGGAGGAATAAATAAGTTAATTAGCTTGATTTACTCATTCTATAATGTATACATATACCAATGCATATGTATACCATAAATATATATATATAATTTTTATTTAAAAATTTTTAAACTTAAAGATTTTAATCAGAGATTAGTAATCAAAATAAGGCTAGTGTAGCCAAAAAAAAAAAAAAGAAAAGAAAGAAATAAAACACTGAACTGTGACCACTTTATATTTGTTGCTTTTTCTACTAACTTAAAAACAATTGTCTAAAACAAGAGATCGGAACACATGACTGCCCCGAATAAATACACTTTCCAAAATTAGCTTAAAATTGTACACATTAACCTAAAGATTGTTTTTCTAAGTTAAACTATCAAAAATTCTCCAGTACAGTCTTACGCATACCTGACACTACAGTGTAGCTCTGACATAGACGAGTCCTCCAAGTGATCTGAGATCCTCTGACCAAAACCAAGGTTGAAAAAAATGATGTCATATCTACTTTAAAATTTACCTCTCTTCCAGGCTGTTTGTCTTCCATGACATCCATCTGTCTCTTGAAAAGCTCTAATACAGCACTGTAGACCAGTTCATACTGTTCCTGTAGAGGACCACAAGCCAGAACAAATGAAAAAAACCCAAAAAATTTGGTGAGCTACTGAACAAGATTCAAGATTATGACTCCCATCATATTGTAATAGAACAGGCTAGAAAGGGACCATTAGTGTAGTTTTTACACTTTTTATTTTTATAGCCCATTTCAGACTTCAAAGCACTTTCAAGTTGCTAGAAATCATTAAATATTTTATATAACTCTAGCTAATGTACTAATACTTGATGGCATTTTTTTTTTATGTTCTAACCCAACTTTCTTGTCTGGCTTTCCTTCCTCTACCATCTCCTCTAATTCTGTTTCCTTTGTCCACATTTTTTAAAGTTTATTTCACCCTAAGTGTATTTTTTTTCAAACTACCCTCATCTTTCCTGGAAAAAGGTACATAATAGCTGCTGTAGAGATAAAAAGCTTCAATACACATTCTCTAACTTCACCCTCACAATTGCTCCATGAAATAGAGACCATTCTACCTATTTGTAAACAGCTTTTCCAGTGTCATTCAGAAACCATTTCTGAGACTTGGCATAGAAACTGAAATCTTCTAAGTCTGAGTTTAAGGTGTGCACTTAGATCAAGTTGCTGAAATTTAGTCCTGGTAAAGAGGCCATAGAAAAGTAAACCACTGAACTGTCTCATTGCTATTTATCAATAAAACTTTGAGAAAAAAAAAAAAAGAAAAGTAAACCACTGAATAAACCTTGGCAATGTGTGGTTATATAAAGACTCGCTGGAGAGCCGTGAGACCTGCTATTTAAGGATCTGCGTCTATACTACTGCTTTGGCAGGGTACCTGCTCGAGGATTTTCTCTGACATTTTATATAACCCGTACAAGCAAAGAACCACTTTTTTAACAGTGATTTTAGCAGGAGAGCCAGGCAGAGTCTGTTTTACCCAGCACAACAGTGGCACATGCTTGAATTTTCTTTTTGAAAGAAGAATCAGACAGGAAGCGCTCAGCTGGTTACAGTGCCGTTTCGTGGTTAGAGTAATGTCAGATAAAGCAGCTGCGACTCTTAAGGTATTTGTCCAGCCAGTCACTGATGATGTCACTACGTGAAGGTCTTTTGGGCCATCTTTCAAACTGGAAAAGCGAGCCCAAAATGGCACCTTTCTGAGCTTCGCACGGTCTTATTGATTTAGCGTTATACTTTATATGAGCAGGTTGCCTATTTCCTGGAGTCTCTATCCATTTCCAGGGGTTATTGTTCTTCTTTCGAGTCTGATAGAAGTAAACCAACTAATGCTTTCATTTCACATAAACTTTCCCCCCAGGCTGAATATAGAAAACACCTACAGTCAACACACTTTTTTAAAAAAAGTATTTTTTCCACAAGCTATTAGTGGAAAACCTCTGTCTACCAAATAGGTTTATATTGTAATAGCTCTTCATTTTTTCCCCTTCAACTTACAACTTCTAGATTGAAATATCTAAACTGCCCCTACCAATCATTTTATCTCTAAACCTAGCTACAAGTTAATTTATGAGGGCTAGAAGCACTAGATTCTGATCTGTTTGTTCTATGCATTAAGTTATTTAAAAGTAGCTCTAGAAAAAGTAGGCAAATCTCCTTATAAGTCATAAACATCAATTAACCTTTGTGATGAATCAATTAATAAATGCTAACTTCCATCTTAAGACTGGAGGCCACAAAAATATTGATGTAGAAATATGGATAAATTTAATGTTGTGGACAGCAAGAGAGTTAGACCAGGAAGAGAAAGGAAGAGCATTTCTGATGGAATAAATGTGGGCAACCTCCAGGGTTTGAAAATTGCGATATAAAATATAGTATTTTTACCATAGTTTAATTATAGTTTTCCATGAAATAGAAAAAGTACAGAGAAATGGTAACCATGGCTTTCTCTAGGTGATAGAAATGTGGTTTTCTTTTTAATTTAACTATCACTGCTTTCTAAAATAAGCTTATATGCTATGCTATCTTTACCAGATTCTTACTACTTCCTAAAACAAGAATTAAAATTCCTGATTTTTTATGGCTTTAGTGATGACTTTATTACAAAATTTCACATTAATGTGACCCTTAACATTCTTTCTAATAAATCAAATAGCTTGCTGAATTTTTTAACATTCTTCATAAGTAAAAAAATATGCCAGCCAAATAGCTCAATGGATTAAAGTGCCTGCAAGCAGGTGCAGGGGCCAGGGGTTCCATCCCCAGGCCCGACATTCTGGCCCCACCCCTGGGCATGCTGAGACAGCAATTGAGACTGGGCATGGTGGTATAAGCCTGTAATCCCAGCTCTTGGAAGACTGTAAACAGGCGGATCACTACAAGTCCGATCTAGTAGTGAGACCCTGAACACCCTGTAGACTCTTCCCTGAAAAATACTAAAAAAAATAAGTAAAAAATACTATATTAGACTGGGCATGGTAGCACATGCCTGTAATCCCAGTGCTGGGAAGGCTGAAACCAGGAGAATCACTATAAATCCAAGCTGTGTAGTGAGACCCTATACCAAATACATTTAAAAAAAAAAGAAAAAGAAAAAAGAAAAAGAAATACTATATTGATTTCATAACATTTTTAAAACACGTCTACAGCTATACAACCCTGAACGTGCCTAATCTTGTCTGATCTCAGAAGCTAAGCAGGATCCGGCCTGATTAGTACTTGAATGGGAGACATTTTTTTAAACAGAAAACATAAAGAATGAAAAGAATTTGACCCAGAACAAGAGATACATCAAAGCTACTGGCATATTCAGATTAGAGCAATGGGATGGGCTTTAAAACATTTCATAGTAAATTGCTGTTGAATTTGAGTAGTCAACTGCTTTTGTAAATATGACATGAGGCAAGACTCATACACACACACACATCCTGTTCTGCCGTGGTCCTTACCTGAGTCTGAACTAATGAAGGCCTCTGTGTTCGCATTTCCTGGATCAAACTGAAAACACTGAAGTTCTCAGGAATTATCTATCAAACGAAAGGGGAAAAGGCTTATTCCTTTCTATCCTTTGTTAGCAAAGCATGTCACTCTGTCATAATCTTGTACGTCTATGACATCTGCTCCCCTTACATGGAATAACAACCGAAGAAGCACGCATTCTGAAAACAAAGGCAGCTTCTCGTCGCTTGTGTCCTAGTTTCAAGGTGAGTGTTTTTCCTAAAAAAGACTAAAGAATGTCTTCAGAATTATTTCACATGGAGGTCATCAAATATCTGAAACTAAAGACACAAGAGACAGGACTCAGCGGATAAGCAAGGACAAAAGTTTTTTTTTTTTTTTTTTTTTTTTTTTTTTTGTGGCAGAACCGGGGATTGAACTCAGGCCCTTGCTCTTGGCAGGCAAGTGCTTATTCTACTGAGCCATCTCCCCGGCCCCTCGCTTATTCCACTGAGCCATCTCCCGGGCCCAAGGACAAGAGTTCTGTAAACCAACAGAAATGGGAAGATAGGTTCAAAGCCCATATTTTAAACTTTCTATTTTCCTGATAGATGTTAAAAATGATTTATAAGCCAAGTGTGGTGGTGCACACCTATAATCCCAGCATTCTGGGAGGCCAGGGGAAAAGAGGAGGGAGATTGCAACTTTGAACACAACTCAATTAGAATTTTGAGCAACTTAGCAAGACTCTGTCTTCAAGGAAAAAATAAAAACGATGGGGATGTAGCTCAGTATAAACGCCTTGGGGTTAAACCCCACTATCACAATATAATACAGATACACAGACATAGATATGGATAAGGATAGGTAGATAAGAACACAACATATGATTGAGATTAAGTTGAGCCCATCTGCTAAAGCAATTTGGATAAAGGAAGAATAATTACATTATTTAGGACTGCAGCTCTTAAATTTTAGCATACATCAAAATCATGGGCCACACTTACAGAATTTCTGGATCAGTCCATGGGGTAAGGCCACAGAATTCATATTTCTAACAAGTCCTAGGTAATGCTGATGATGCTTGTCTGGGTATACTTTGCAGGGCTGGGGACTAAACTCAGGACTTCACACAAGGTATAGAGCTGTTCTCCCACTGAACTACAACCCCAGCTTCTGGACCACACTTCAAGAACTGCCAACCTAGGAACTACTGCAATTATCTGATAGAGTAGGTCAGCAAATTTTCTAGAAAAGATGAATCCTGAAGATGTTTTGAAACATAAAACTGTTCTTCAGTCTGAGAGCAGTGGAGTAAACAAACAGGAAGTACCTGCTGAGAGACACTCACCCCATCTTTTAGCAGCATCCATGTGTAATCAATGGCACAAATAACACCAGTCCTTCCACAGCCAGCGCTGTAAAGAAAGACCACGGTAGTAAGCGTACATATTTAGAGAGAGTAGATCATTGACAGTAGCTGGAAGTTTGCACCATCAGACTTGAAGAAACAATCTGTAGTCTATGAAGATGCTTTCAGACTCTACTATTTTCCACACCACAGTGACCCCCAGGACAGGTCCACAGTAAGATCTCACAGCAAGAATCACTAAAGCCATACTGTTCACAAGTGACATTTAGTAAACATGAATTTAATGCTCGGGTTGGACTTCCCGGAGTTTGTTTCTGCTCTTGACCTTTCCCTTTCAGTTGCAGGGTGTGGCCAGCCCTTTGGTTTGTTCTCAGCAGAAGCCTCATACATGGCATCCTACCTGCAGTGAATGCATATGGGAACACTGTCATCCTCCTGATAACAACGCATATCCCAGATGAGCTCAAGAATAGGGTCTAGAGATGAAGGCACGTCATGGTCTGGCCAATTCTTATAATGAAACTGGTAGATAGTTCGTGTTTCCTATGAAAAATAGCAAGAATGAGAGAAGGGTTCAAGCTTAGGAATCTGATTCTACTAAAAATTAGTGTGAACCTGGGCTGGTGATACGTGCCTCTGTCCCAGCACTCTGCGAGGCTGAGGCAGGATGATCATAACCTTGAGCCCAGCCTGGGCAACTTAGTGAGACACCATCTCAAAATAAAAAATAAAAATGGCCGGGGAAGTGGCTCAGTGCACAGGTCCTGTGTTCAATCCCTAGTATAAAATCATCACCACCACCACCACAATCATCATTACTATCATCTGACTTAGTAGGCTCTCTTCTGTATCTTCTTTTGGGCAATAATTCTCAGCTGACCAGGTGCCTTATGAGGAAGTGATTTGAGGCTAACCCAAACCGCCCCATTCACAAGAGGAAGTAGATATGGAAATAGTCCAAACCAGATTTTCCCAAATAATGTGTTTTAAGTGGGTCACAGACACGCTGATTTATGAATTCCCTTTGGCTTTAGACAGGATAGATAGGGCTTAGGAGGGCCTGAGCTCGAAAGGTGCTTCCCACTCTGTCAACATAGCTTAGCCTCTTTTTGCCCTAAAAATGCCATCATTTAATGTGTGTGCCACAGTGTGGGACAGGTCAGGAAGCAGAGATTACACCAGAGAGCTCTTTTACTCTGAAGGCTTTTCAGGACATAGCCCCTGTTGTTTCCCATACTGGTTTGCCCTGAACTAAGTCACACGCGTGTATCTACCCGCCTGGTCTCCAGAGATTGTTGAGCTTGTCGTTCCTGTCCTGTACTTACACTGTTGAACTTGGCTTTTAGAGTCCTGATTATATAATCAGATTTCCTTCTTTCAGCTTCCTAAGAAGAAGATTAAAACATTAGTGATTTCAAAAGCAAGATCTCTATAAAGTGGATCCTGGAGGCTTTGCTCCGTCACCATGACAACATACTTACGCAAGATACGGAGAAAGGGCCGAACTGCAGCTGCGTCTGTCCTGGCTCAGCCCAGTAGCGCTCACACTTTTTCTGTTGCACAAAGCAGAATACAGTGATTTCCCTTCCTATCTTCTAGCCCCCGCTGGGGTTAGAACTCACTCCCTTACACAGAAGCAGACTTGGGGGGCCGGGGAGATGGCTCAGTAGAATAAGTGCTTTCCTGGCAAAAGCAAGGGCCTGAGTTCAATACCCGGTTCCACAAGGGGGGCGGGGGGAAGAGGAGAAGAAGAAGCAGACTTGGCTCTATGGCTTTCACTTTAGGTAAGGTACTGCCAAGCCCCTTGGGCTTCAGTCCCAACATCATAACCTGGAATCTCCTAAGGATGGAAAAGCAAATATTAAAGAACATAAGAATTACAGACTTTCTAGAAGTCTAAAAAATAAGGTTTTATATCTATTTTCTAGTATTCCAGAAAAACTAAAAGGGAGCCAGGTGTGGTGGTGGCACATGCCTATAACCTCAGCACTCAGGAGGCTGAAGCAGGAGGATTGCCATAAGGTTAAGGCCAGCCTGAACTATATGGTGAGACCCTGTCTCCAACAAACACACATGACCCCCACCACCACCAACAACAAAAGCTACAAGGAAGTAAATGTATATTACAGCAGCTGTACAAGCCAAAGCAAACACCAAGTTTCCTTGGTTTGCATCAAAATTGCCATTGCCCAATGGAAATGATAGTTTTTCGTCTTTGCCAGCTCGGCCCACCTTGAGGGTGGGCTGGGGCAGCATGTGGTGCCAGGGATCCAGCCAGGGTTTCCTGCTCCGGCCTAAGCTTGCCTAAGCAGGCACTTTAGACCACTGAGCTGTCTCACTGGCCCCCTAGGAAATGGTAGTTTAGAATAGTGATGTCGAATAAAAATATGTCAACTACATACATCATTTAAAATTTTCTAAGAGCCACATTAAAAAATGAAAACAGAGGGGCAGGAAGATAGCTTGGCAGTTTAAATGCCTACCTGGCAAGCTCAAGGACCCGGGTTTGAGCCCTGGTACTGCATGCTGTGCTGCAGTGCCGGCCACCAAAACCGGGCATGGTGGCGCACACCTGTAATCCCAGAACTTGGGAGGCTGAGACAGGAGAATCACTTAGAGTCTGAGCTGTGTAATGAGACCCTATAGACCATGTACTAAATACAGTTTTTAAAAATATGGCTAATGTGACTGAAGAACTCGGTTACTTTATTTCCTTTTAATTGAATTAAATTTTAAAACATTTAATTTAGTTATTAGAAAACTTTCAGTTTCTTTAGGACCACTTGGGCAAGTGCAACTTTTGTAATATAATTTTTATTTAAGCCTAAATGAAAAGAAAATATTTCCAATGAAAATTTAGCTTACTAATTTTTTTTTTTTTTTTTGGTGGAACTGGGGATTGAAGTCAGACCCTTGTGCTTGCCAGGGAAGCACTTATTCTGCTGAGCCATCTCCCTGGCCCCTAGCTTACTAATTAAAGTAAGCTATAACTATATATACAGACAGGATTTTTAAGATTACTTTAAAAAACAGGTCAAGTATCTATGAATGGCTGTCTGGCCGGCCCTACATTGGCCATATTTTAAGCAATTAATTAACTATGTATAAGGGCCTACAAGATAGCTTAGTGGACTAAGCACCTGCTTAGGCAAGCGCAGGGATGGGTTTGATCCCGGGCACCACATGCTGTACCTGCCTCACCCCTGGGTGCACTGAGCCACGACCAAGTGTGGGCGTGGTAGCACCTGCCTGTAATCCCAGGGCTGGGGAAGGTGAAAACGGGAGGATCACTATGAGTCCAAGCTGCACACTGAGATCCTGTACCAAATAAATAATAATAATAATAATAATAATAATAATAATAACTACATGTAGCTAATGGATGGCATTTGTTGTTTCATGATTTTTTTTCTTTTCTTTCAGTACCAGGCATTGAACTCAGGACCTTGCACTTGCCAGGCAAGCACTTATTCTACTAAGCTATTTCCCTAGACTGTATAGCATTTGGGACAACGCAAGATTACAAGCTTGGAGTAGCAGTTAAAGCCATCTGATTAATAGAAATGAGAAATAGAATTGTTACTTTAAAAGCATACTTTGTATTTACTTTATTTTTATTTATTCATGTTGGGTTTTTGAGATAGGTTCTCACTCTGCAATTCAGACTGGCCTTGAATCTACTCTTTAGCAGAAGCTCGACTGGCCTCGAGCTCTCAGGGATCCCTCTGCCTCAGCCTACCAAGCGCTGGCATTACAGGCTTGCAGTCCCATACCCAGCCTGTTCTTACTTAAACACAGTCTCCTGGGGAAATAGGCTCTTAGGGATGAAAAAGTCCTGAGACAGGTGGCATTCGACCCTGAAAACTAGGATGCTAGTATGATCCTGATTTATCCTGGGCACACTTAAGGTAAGTTCAGTTATCAGTTTTTCCTATTTTCCTCTTTACTTTTAAGTCAACAACATTAGAAAGTGACTCACCTTTCCCATTTCAAACTCCATACATGCCATAACAATGATCTGGAGGTGGGGGGATGAAACACAGAGAAATTAAAAACATCTTTACAGCTAGAAAGAAAGATAATACATGGGCCCCAGCGTCAGAAAGTGCACATCATTATTCTGCATTGCTTGGATTGCTTTTTAACCAATAAAGACATCCTGATAACTCATATGCTTCCTTCTTTCTGTCTTCGCTTCCCTTTTCTCTATTCAAATCAGTAAAGCCATGTTACCAAAAGAGCCTGTCAAGGAGTGAACTTTCACTTCCTTTTTTTCTGTTGAGACAGGGTCTCGCTACACAGTTCAGGTGGCCTTGGGCTTTCTCTGTAGCCCAGGCTGGTCTGGAGTTCACAACAATCCTCCTGCCTCAGCTTCCCAAGAGCTGGGATTACAGGCATGTGCCACCATGTCCAGCTTTTGTGTCCTTGGACAAAAATGACATTGTGATTTTAATAAAAAAGTGCCTGAACCCTGAAATTCCAGTGATCAGTTAAAAAAACAACTGGAAATGGTAGACAGGGAAACCCAGCACATCTCGACATTCTACCCCCTTTATCCCTATGAACTAGAGAATAAAGGAACAGAAGCAAGTCTGCATTTACCAGAACACTGTATTCCCAAATCATCCTCCAAAAGTCCAGAAGAGTTGAAGGTAAAGGGCCCTGTGTGGCAATGTAAGCCCTGGGTGCATATACTCCCTGAAGAGGAAAAGAAATTACATTAAGTGACTGCAGAAAATGGACTCTTCAGGGGCTGGGGAGATGGCTCAGTAGGATAGGCGCCTCCCTGGCAAGAGCAAGGGCCTGAGTTCAATCCCTGGTTCCGCCAAATAGAAAATACACTCTTCAGGCTGGGCGTGGTGGCGCACACCTGTAATCCCAACACTTGGAAGGCTGAAAACAGGAGGATCACTATGAGTCCAATCTGTATAGTGAGATTCTGTAGACCCTGGACTAAATACAAAAAAAGAAAAGAAAATACACTCTTCTTATCTAATCCTCTCCCCATTCTCCTTATTTGTTTTTTGTTTTTTTGATAGAGGGTCTGGCTATGTAGTTCACACTACCCTTTTTTTTAATACACAATTTTATTTTTATTTTTATGGTACCGGGGATTGAACTTAGGACCTTGTGCTTGCCAGGCAACCACTTACTCTACTGAGCTATTTCCCCAGCCCTCATGCTACCCTTGAACTCACTATAGAACAGGATGTCTTTGAAATCTCAGTGATCCTCCTGCCTCAGCCTCCTGAGTGCTGAGATTACAGACAGGCGCCACCACGCCCAGCCCCATTCCCTTTTTCTAAAGTCTCTAGAGAATTAGGAATATTTTTATTTCCTTGCAACATACCTTAATGAAGTTGGCATTGATGTAGCTAGAATCCTCATCAGACGTTATCAGAGACAGCTCTACTCGGCTATGATCATCTATAATTAAAAAAAAAAAGAAAGAAAGAAGAAAAAAGAAAAGAAATACGATGTAATAGAAGACTACATTTAGAGCAGGCTAAATTAGGGCCTAACACTGTGAAGGGTGGGTATAATTAAGTGTTGGGCTCTTTTGCAGTCATAAATACATGCCACATTCTGAGATCATGAATACAAACAGTGGGTAGAAAGACAGAAGTGCTTGAAGTTGAGAGGAGGTCCACATAGGCAGAAATGGAACTTACAGGGCAAAATGTCCTTGTATCTGTTTTTCTTTATATTCATGGGCTTCTGAGCCACAGCTGTGGGGTAAGTTTTGTCTGCCTTGAACTTGGTGGATTGCTTTTTCAGCTTCTGTAATAAAATTTCAAGAAAAATTTTACTTAAAAAGTAAAAGGAGGTCAGAAGCCATCTCTAGAGTTTTCCTTCTTCATTTACCAAAACTTCCATTTCAACTACGTCAGCATCCTCTGGGGCTGATTTCATTCAGGACAGGGCATAAGGACAGCACAGTTCAGTGAGAGAAAAGGGAAAGGATCATGTTGGACTGCAGCTGTACTGTGGGTAGCCAAAACTTAAAGGTGAAATTGGTGAATACTTAAAATATATATATTTTCTGGATTGCAGTGAGAAATGGAGTGCGACCTGCTTCTGCAGGGTCCTCCAGGCCTCCCGCAGATGGCGGTGGGTGACCTGGGGGCCCAAGGGTGGGCCTCTGCCCAGTAGGCCCTTGGATCCCTCGCTGTGACTGCCCACTGGCTGGACCCAGGCTTCCAGGCAATGGGAACCGATCCTCCACCCCACCTTGATGACCTAACCGTAGCAACAGCCTTGGAGCCAGAAGCCCTCGGGCTGCAGGGTCTCCACCCCGACCCCGCCAGCCTAGGCAAAGCACCTGCCGGGACTCAGCGCAGGACTCAGGGCCTTGCAGCAGCTGCATGTGGGGTGGAGGAGGAAGGGTGGCCCCTGGAGGGCTGCAGAGGGCCTCGGCGGCGGGTCTAGGAATTCTGTGAGACCTGGTCAGTTTGCAAAAGGAGAAGGGCCTTAACTTCCTCCTGACCTTTCCCTCCTTCCTTATTTTTATTAGTCTATGTCATCTTGGTTCTTTTCCTACAACTTATCCTTTTCACTTACTACTCTTTTATATTGCTTCTCTGTGCTGAGAATTACCCAATGTTTCACTGTCACATCCACAATTCTCTGCTCTTCTCCCATTACACATGTATTTTCTCAGAGATATGTATATTCTTATGGCATACCAGTGTTTGTTGATTTAATGGACTAAAATTGAATTACATTGCCAATTTCTATTGGATGTCTGAAATTTCTCTATCAAAGTTTTCTTAATATTTTAATCTCAAATTCTTAACCATATCCTAGATAATTTCATATTAGTTGAGTTTGTTTTGTTTTATTTTGGGTTGGGTTTTTTTTGTGTGTGAGACAGGGTGTCCCGACATACTTTGGGCCAGCCATGAAGTCACTACATAGCCCATGCTGACCTTGAATTGGTAGTGATCCTCCTGCCTCAGCCTCCCAAGTGCTGGAATCACAGGCACGCACCACCACATCCAGCTGCTAGGTTAGTATTTAATTACTGCCTCGGACTCAGCACATTCAAAACTAAAATCAATGCTGTCCCCTGTCAGATATGAATGGCTCTGTCTTCACCCCAAACAGCTATACTATAGAAACCGGGGGTTGGGCTGGGGAGATAGCTTGGCAATCTAAGCCCCTGCCCGGCACACTCAAGGATCTGGGTTTGATCCCTGGCACTGCATGCTGTGTTGGCCCCAAAACCAGGCGTGGTGGCGCATGCCTGTCATCCCAGGGCTGGAGAGGCTGAGACAGGAGGATCACTATAAGTACAACCTGCCTAGTGAGACCTTGTACAAAAAAAAAAAAAAAAAAAGATGGCACAAATTCATGACAATGATGTGAAATACGACTTCATTAAAATTAGGCCATTCCTTTTTTTCTCATAGATATATCTTTCGTACAGCTTTTGCAATTCTCAGCACAGGGTGCACTAAGAGAAGTATGGAAGTATTTCTCTCATGTGACTAGCAACAAGAAAAAAACGGGGACTGTTACTCTCATTACATAGTTGCTCATACTGCCTATAGGATTTTCCCATAATTTTGGTGCCCGTATGTGACAGTTTGCCTAAGGAGCCCTGCTAAGTGATTTTAACAAATGGTGATGGAAAGGGACCCTAAATTAAAAATATGACACGAGAAGAGAGAAACAGAAAAGAAGTAGAGAATAAAAATTTGATTTAGAAAATAATTCAAATCTATCATTAGACTTCAAAATTGGCTCAGAATAACTTGGTAAATATCTAAGAATCTCTAAAAGGACAAGGGTTAGGAATATAGTTCAGGGGCCCAAGTGCCTGGCAAGCACAAGGATCTGAGTTCAATTTTCTTTTCTTTTTTTTTTTTTCTGCATTTTAGAGAAGGGTATACAGGGTCAGGGTCTCACTACTAGATCTGACTCAGTGATCCGCCTGTTTACAGCCTCCCAAGAGCTGGGATTACAGGCATGTGCCACCATGCCCAGTCTCCTGTGTTCAATTTTCAATTCAAAAGAAGAAGAAGAAGAAGAAGAAGAAGAAGAAGAAGAAGAAGAAGAAGAAGAAGAAGAAGAAGAAGAAGAAGAAGAAGAAATTGAGATCATAACATTTTGAGCTGAGAGTTCAAAACAAAATTAATTACCAACTATCTAGAGTCCAAATAAATTGATAGTTTATGAATACAGTAATAAGCAGATCATTAAATAATTTTAACAAACCAACGCATAAGAATGTAACCTTTTTCCAGTGAAGGATGTCAAGTGGAACGGACAGCTAGTGCTTGCTTATTTGTGTGTGTGTGTGTGTGTGTGTGTGTGTGTGTGTGTGTATTGTGCTAATGACTATTTTTTTTCCATTTCGGAGTTTGGTCAGACACACGGAATCTATTCAAAGCAGGTACACAGGCAATTCTTAAGTCCTAGTTTCTTGCCCTGGTTTGAATTCTTGTGAATTTTCATAATCGAATTTGGAACAAAAGAGATGCTGGAGACACTGAACTGAAGTTTGTAGAGCACACTTTCACAGAACGCGGGCATACCGGTGGACTAGTTTGGGAATTGAACTAAGGGCATGGCCCAGGCCCATAGGAGCCCACAAAGTGTTTCCACCCTTATTTTTCAGCTCCTTCTGTTCCTAGACATCTTCAGTAAAACCATTTCACACTGCCTAGGTCTGCAGAAGAGAGCTCAAAGTCCCAGACTGGTTCTTTCTAGAAATCTCCAGAAATGACTCCAGTGCATTCTCCTTTGTTGTAGTTTCTATTTATTTTGTTTTGCTTTGCTTGTAGGATGGTTTCTAGGGAGAACGTTATCACTGAAAAGGTGGGTCCAGATGGTTTCATGAGAGGCTAGAGATGGCGCCGGGAGGAACCAGCTTCAGAGATGAAGGAATATATTCATTCTGGTGCTAGCAGGGAAAAAGGCCCTGCACCTTAACGTGCACAAGAGCCAAGAAAGGCGCGGTGTGATCACGTGCTAGGCCAAGGCACACAGCGGCGTCACTGCAGTTCCCTTGCCACGCGGGAGGAACCATGCTCACCCTTGCGTGGTTGGCATCATTGCTGTAAATACTCACAGAAACAAGCTGTGTCCAGGCTGCCCTAATTGGTCAGTGCTACATCTGTAGAAGTTGCCACCATACCAACCTGCTCCTAATACACAACAATAGCACTTAAACGTGACCTTTGGAACTGAGTATCTTCTTTCCTTTAAGACTCAATGAAGGGGCTGGTGAGATGGCTCAGTGGTCTAAAGCACCTACCTAGAACAAGTTTAGCAAAGCACAGGGACCGCGGTTCAATCCCCCAGCACCACATGCCAGCCAGCCCCGCCCCCTGGTGGGCTGAGCTGGCCACACACACACACACACACACACACAAATAAATAAATAAAATTTTTTTTAAAAAAAGACTCAATGAAGAGCCAGCCAAATGGCTCCGCAGATTAAAGCACCTGCAAGCAGGCCCAGGGGCCGGGGATTCAATCCCTGGGCCTGCCATGCTGGCCCTAGAGATTGAGACTGAATGTGGTGGTACGTGCCTATAATCCCAGATCTTGGAAGGCTGTAAACAGACGGATCGCTATGAGTCTGATCTAGTAGTGAGACCCTGAACACCCTGTAGACCCTTCCCTAAAAATACAACAACCAAAAAAGACTCAATGAATCCTTCATATTTTGTAAGCATGTCTTTGTTGTTAATAACTAGAATATTTGTTGGGTTTTGTTTTATTTTTTCTAGTACTGGGAATCGAACTCAGGACCTTGCACTTTCCAGGCAGGCGATTATGCCACTGAGCTATCTCCCTAGCCCAATAAATACAATATTTACCTCTTCTAAAAACATCCCTCTCCAGCAAGATATGTAAAATTCACTTTTATTTTCCTCTTTACTATTTCAATGGGATCCAACAACACTGAGAGAAAATTCTAACTATAGATTTTTAAATTAAAAATGTAATACAGGGCCAGCCAGATAGCTCAGTGGATTAAAGTGCCTGCTTAGTCAGACACAGAGGCTGGGGTTTGATCCCCTGGCTTTGCTGAGATGGCTGAGATTGGGTGTGGTGGCATGCACCTGTAATCTCAGTGCTTGAGAGGCTGAAAAACAGGAAGGATCACTACAAGTCCAAGTCCTCTCTATGTAGTGAGACCCTATAGGCCCTGTACTAAATACATTAAAAAAAGAAAAGTAATACATATTCCATGGTACCTTTGTTCCTGAACCTTAATCTGTCCTATAATTCTGGAAAAGTGGGCCACATGCAGGAGAGATGGCCACACAGTCATGTTCCTTACCTGGTGCAGAGTTGGCAAACAAACACAAAATGTTGCCAAATGCCCAGTCTCATTCACCATCTCAGCACACCCTGGGGTCAGAGTCCATACAGCTTGTGGTGCCGGGAATAGAACCCTGGTCTCTGCACTCTGCCTAACCAGGCGCTTTAGTCCATTGAGCTATCTGGCTGGCCCTACAACTTGATTTTTTCATTTATCAATTGTGTTCTCCTACTTTTCTGTTGTTTTTGAGACAATGCCTCCAAGGTAGAAAAGACAAATATACATCTAAGGGGTATTTAAGAAATGTGCTGTATCCAGGTGTGGTGGTGCCTGTCTGTAATCCCAGCACTTGAGAGGCTGAGGGAGGAAGATTGTTGTGCCTGGGCTACAAAGAGAGCTCAAGGCCAGCCTGAAATGCATAGTGAGACTCTGTCTCAGAAAAACAAGAAAAAAAAAAGAAAGAAAGGAAGGAAGGTACTACAAAATTGGCCCACATATAACA